AGGAGAAGAAGATTTGAATTCCCCAGACTAACAATGCTCTTGCTATACCTGGGGATTCGGGGCAAGCCTTTGCATAGCGACCACCATCTCTGGAATGGACTGGTTCCTTTGTGCCCTTCTTATCCATTGAGAACAGTGTATTGGTGCAAGGCATCTCTTATGTAACTAAGCAAAAGCTTGCCCTGAATCACAAGGTGTAGCAACAGCGTCTGTAGTGTGGAGAATTCAACTGTTATGTTCATGTGAATGTAGAGAACACAGAGTACTAGATTTTATTGAAATTTAACTCACAAAAGACTTACTAACCATTGCATATAATAGAAAATATAGATTGAAAAACTGCAATATGGCCGCTCTCCACTCATGCTTGACACACCTGCAGCCAGTTTGCATGTGCACCAGCGCCAGTGCAAATGTGCAGTATAGATCTGCTTCAACAATCCTAGTCAACTTACTGTTGATGAATTCCTGTCAATTCTCCCGTCTCATTTTTGCCAGTTGTAAACGTTGCCTCCTTTAATCACCCATTTCTTTCTAAGATGTCAATAAGATCACCCATTAATAGTAAATTGCCTTTTATTATAAAAAGAAGCTCTCTGATTTTTGGTAGGTTTTTGATGCAGAAAGCGGTGGTATTCTGACCAGCTACGATGAACATGATAGCTTTGTTACATGCTGCTGTGTTTCTCCCAAAGACAAGAGAGTCGCCTCTGCATCGTCCTACCTGTTGCATGTGAGTGTGTAGTCTAGGGCTTTTCAACACAAGACTCCCAGCTTCTGCAAAAGCCCCCATATTGGTTTTCCCTTTACCTATGTATTTCTTGTCTCTGTTAATCTATAATTATTTCCAGATTTATGTATATGTACTGTTATTGTTTACTTTTCCTGATCTTCATCAATAAGGAAATAAATGTCATATATAAATTGATCTGAAATTGAGTCTGATTGGTTTCCCAGATTACATCGTTTTAACCTGTGAAGTAGAAAAATAGCATTCGGAAATGGTCTCTGAGAAAAAAGGATGCTCGAGATATCATGTTGTGCCGATCTGCCTCGTTCAACAGGTTTGGGACATGTCGACAGCCGAGCAGCTAGGAGTGTGCGTCTGCCGAACCCAGGCTATCCTGTGTTGTGCCTTCTCACCCAACGGGAGCATCGTCGTGACGGGATGCTCCGACTTCTCAATCTGGGTGAGATTCATACTCGCACCAGTCAAATGAGATCTCAAAGTATTTGGCGGCAACATGATGTGTACGGCCAAGCACAGACAATATTCCCCTGCCTCTGGTCATTATTGTTATATGATGAAATACACCAAAAGGTTTGAATATTCATAAGTGCGGTAATTAGGTAAGAAGCTCTTAAAGTAATCTTGTTTTTTGATAATCTGTCAGCAGTCAGAATACTCGATAAAACACAAAAAGAGGGTTTAGTTTGTCAAATTTTAATATTGGTATTTTCATTATTGTGCCAACAGCTGTGGGATATAACATCGTTCAAGTCTCTCGCTGTCTATCGAGGCCACAGCAGTTGGGTATTGTCAGTAGCCTTTGATTCCAGCGGCGAGCAGCTTGTGTCGGCCTCGGATGACGAAACGGTCATGGTACGCTTTGGCCTCGGGCAACATTTTTGTGTGTGGTTTTGGTCAGTTTCGAGGTTCTGTGACTTTCGCATGAGAAATTTTTTAATTCCCAAGAGGTCGGTTTGGATAAAGTTAGAAATTGGCGCATTGTCAGCATTCTCTCTGAAACCAAACAAGGATGCAGAATTGTCTCTGTTATTTTATTCAACTTTAAAACTACAAATTTTCAAGTCGGAAGTGATTTGTATTGCCATCATTTAAACAGATTTAGAAAATCTTGATAATATAAATTTAATACCAGACTTTGAAGTCATTCCCACTTACTGGCAAAATGTAATCGTGGCATTATGTTACAATATTTGAATTGTCTCTGCTGTTATTTGATTCTGCAAAGCAAGATGAGCCATTCCGTCGTCTCTTCTGTAGATATGGAAAGTTGACAGCCTCTTTGACGACAACAACGTGGTGCTGAAGAGGGACTTTGAGGCACGGTTCAGCAGTGATGACGTGACCATTGTGACCTCCGATGTTAGCAACGCCTGTCTGGTAAGTAGGTTTTCATCGGTCAGTGGGTTTGATTACTTGCATGCCAAGCAACACGCACTCTCCCGGACAACTGTTAAAACATTGCAGTATAATGAACACGAAGGGGTCCATGTTACAGCGGTCATTCGGTAAAGCGAATTTAACTGCCAAACATTTCGTTTCCATGTTGAATAACGCCCTCTCTTGTCTGACTGAAGTGCACCCTCTTGTGAAACTATGATTCACTGTTTTTGTGATGTTTTGCCGTTGCATTCACGTTTGAGGTTTCTAGAAATGTATCTGTTAATTATTTTTGTTTTTTATTAAATCTTGAGGTACAAAATTGATATTCAGTTTATCCTAAAAGTCGTGAAGCTACCGCTCAGGATCGATCTCTGATGCATGCTGTGGCGAATCTCGGTTGATTTGCAAAGTTTTTGGTAGGTTTTGTGCACAAAATATTGGGAGCCAAGGACGATGTTCAGTACAGCCGAATGTTCGGTTTAGCAATGGTCAGTATAGCGACGTTCCACTGTACCTGCTTGGTTGTGGCTACACCCACAGGCTTGCATATATTTTGATTGATATTCTGATATGAAGGTGATGTGAAAATTGTTCAACCTTTACAATGCATGTGCATAGTGTGAGTACCCAAGTGGTGTCAATGTCATTTCCCATGAGGAAGTGCTTTGACGTCAGAAAGTCGCAGTACTCAGTTGGTCAGAGAGTTCACTTTCATTTTGGCCCTTGCAATAGAAACCACCATCAATTCAGACTGCCGACTTAATTCGTGGAGATGATATAAAATTGCGCTCCTCTCCACTTTCTGCCTAGGTTATCGATGAGAACGGCCAGCGGACGCGCGTCGTCGCACAGAGTCCAGCTCGAGTCCGCACCGTGGCCATGTCCAGCGACGGCAAAGCAGCCTGCGGAAACATCTTAGGCGAGATATTTGTACGTATTCACTAAAAACAGCACGCAGTCTTAGTTTGATGGTATTCTGGCATATTGTAGCTTGTTAGTCTCTCGACCAGCCTGAATTTGAAATGTGGACTTTCTCTTTGTAGCTACTGAGTGTCATCTTTGCCAAAGAGTTATGCGTACTTAGGGGACACACTAGTGCAATCAGACATTGTGTCTTCAACAAAGATGGGTCCATGTTAGCCTCAACTTCAGAGGATACTGATGTCAGGGTGAGTAGGGTAGTTTAGCTCATTTGACCCTTGATATGAGAAATTGTCATGAAATCATGTGCAAGGAAAGAAGTCATCCATAAAGGCCACACTCTTCAAAGTTTGAGAATAATAGATGTCTTTCAAGGAGCAAGTTCCTTTAGGATGAAAAAATATTGAAAATACGTGTACATTTTATTTTGAGTAAAGTGGGGTCAGGTGCTGCGTCCCACTGGGTTGGTTAAGGAGGTAGGGAAAGGTTTACAAAACCTGACTTATTTTGGGATGTGTTTTTAGTTGAGACCATCGCAAGACCAATCACAGGGCCAATCGCAAGACTAGTCACAAGACCAATCAAGAGGCCAGTCACCAGACCAGTCACCAGACCAATCACAAGGCCAGTCACAAGACCAGTCACCAAACCAGTCACAAGTCTGGTCACAAGACCAATCACAAAACCAGTCACAAGGCTGGTTATAAGGCCTGCCACCAAGCCAGTCACAAGACTGGTCACAAGGCCCATCACAAGTAACAGGATGAAAAATGACAAGGGAATAATTTTGTTCATTTGAATAGCTTGAGACTTGAATTCAGAACCCACAAGACCAACATCTCATGGGGGCCTTGTGATGGTCTTTAGAGGTCTTGACTACACTTTGTGCATTGGCACTGTGCACAGTCAATGTTAGAAATTTTTTTCTCAACATTTAGCAAGTTTGGGTAGCCGAAAAAACTCACACTTAACAATTTTTTACCATAGCTGTGGAATCTGAACAAGCCTGGTCAACATGTCGTTCTCAAAGGTCACAGGGACTCGGTCAATATGTGCAACTTTTTCAAGAAGGATACCAGGCTGTTGTCGTCTTCCCACGATGGTACTATGAAGGTAAGGTGGTGTGAAGGTTGAACTTTTCCTCTTTTATGAATGTGCATCAATCTAAAAAACAAGGTGGCAACACTTTTCATCTACAAAATGTCCATTTTCATGAAGATGCCTGTTTCTAGTTCAAGCTAAAGCAAAATTATTGGGGGGAAAAAAGCCAAAGGGTACATTTTGTGGGATCCGGTCATGAATGGCTTAAGTCAATAGGGTGCATGGTAGCCAGAGAGTTACTGACAATTACCCTAAAAAGGCCGAGTTGGGAGTTCACCCTCAAGACTTTCCTCCAGTTTCATCGGGATACATTTTTAAAAATTGGCCACAAAACTTCGATAAGTTTTGCAGATGATTATGGTTATTTTGACATCAATTTTACAAAACTTAAATATGGCATTCATTCTTGTCAAGTTTTTAATTTATGAACTGAAGTAGGCGGACATTTTCCACTGACTTTTCATAATTGAAGGTATGACCTCTGACCCTCAGATATGGGATGTCAAGTCTGGGGAGGTCATCAAGTCTATTGAGGCGCACGACAATTGGATCTTCTCCTCCGACGTCTCACCCGACGAGAAACTAGCAGTCTCGGTGTCGGTGGACAAAACAGCAAAGGTTAATCAAGAAAATAAACACTGTCAGGCCATTATTATTTTACATAGAACGTTCTGCCAAAAAATCTAGACTTTTAGACGACTTTGCACCGAAGGGCGTATTAACACTCTGGGATTTCCCAGGCCTTTAATGTGCATGTCGGCAAATTCTCCATGTATTGCCAGTAGGCGTCTGTACTCGGCCTCACGCTTGCGTGATTCCCATTGATTTTATACACACAGACTCAAACTACATGTAGTCTGTGGAGGTTGATGGAACCATATACAGAGTTGCGACATGATTGTCGCCATTGTTGGAAACCAAATGGCAGGTCTGTGTGCCTGTGCACACGGACAGTTGGTATCCAACAGCCACATGCTCTACTGTACACACAGTAAGCAGCCATTTTGTTTCCAAAATCTGACGCTGGAGCTACTCTCTCTATGTACATCTCTGGAGGTTGAGCATGAGCGCAGCCCTCAAGTGGTCTTGGGCCACGGTCAGACTGACCCTTGGCTGTCATTTGTCGACGTGTCCTTGCTGTTTAAATTCGCCGAGAATGTGTTGTAGAGCAATATTTGTTACAGTGCCCGTCCAGAGTTGAAATGTCCACCATGCTACAACATAGGGAATCCTTGTGTACCTGGATGTTGTTACGGTTAATGAAGGCCACTACGCCCCTTTTGGCCATCTCTCTTCAGGTGTGGGATATTGCCAGTGGTAATCTCATACACACGCTGAATGGACACGACGACATCATCAGAACCTGTTGCATCGCCCCAAACAGCCGTCTCCTGGCAACCGGGAACGACCAAGGAGTGATCAAGGTGAGATGCGGCCGTGTTGAGAACAGTAAAGCTTGACTCAAGCTGGAATCTGACCTTTGACCGCCAGGACCAAATTTCAGTGTACTACCAACTAAACTTTCTAGTCCCAAGTGCGGCATTCTTTTGAGAAGTTCTCTTTAATCCCAACTCCATCAAATGTTTTAAACATCACCAATGAATATTGGCGATGTTTAAAACATTTGATGGAGCCACACACCTCAGAAAGGCCATAAAGCCCTTTTTCACGTTTTTCGTTTTCAGTTCCTCGCTTGGTTCATGAATAAAGTTATCAAAATAACAAAGAGATCTTCATTATCTATAAAACCCCCAATGAGCTGTTTACCTCCACCCTACTCTTGAAACTTTAACTTTGAATCTGCCTATGATTGTGGGACACCGTTCTACAAAAGGAGAAAACTAGTTGTAGAGCTTGTAACCGTTACATGGATTGGTTTTGCTTCTTAGATTTGGGATTTGATCTCTGGCAAGGAAATTGCTACCTGTGCCGGTCATAATTCTTGGATCACGGACATCACATTCTCAAAGGATAGTCGGTACATTCTCTCTGTGGGGGATAATGTCAAGGTAAACTTGCAGTTACTTTTGTTTTGTGTTTGAGACAAGGATGGTGAGGTTCTGTTAAGAGTTTGACAATTCTAATAAGCAATTGATCAGTTGTTTGATTGATAATTTTCAGTTCTAAGTAATCAATTGTTCCATCAATCAGTCCATGACCTGTCAATTACAGTCATTCAGTTGATAATCATTGAATCTGTTGATGAAACGGCCAGTTTATTGGCCAGCTCATTGGTTTGTTGATTGGCTGATTGGCAGGTTGGTTAGCCGCTTGATTGATCAATCAGTCAAACAGTCAAACAAGGTCAAATTTATTTGTCAATAAATAAGAGGATCACCTGACCGTACACTGACCAATATCAAGCCCAACGTAGAGTAACAGTGGCTGGGCGCTCTACCTTCTTTAATCCTACAAAATCCTCCACTGTGTAGGATACCAATGGCATATTCTTTGTACTTCAAGATCCTCTAAAACCACCTAGTGGATTTTAAAGCATGGGGTTCATTCTAAGAATTTACAGTACATGTAGTTATCAGGATATCTTTTATACTTTGTGTCGGTAAACAGTGGTGGCGTGTGGACGGCAGTTCCGTTCAGATCTTCCACATCCGAGGGAGTTTTGTCCGTCTTGTCCGAGCAGACGATGACTTCAAGCACTTCGTGACCATCGGCAACACCGGCATACTTTACATCCTGTCATTGATCAAGCAACCCCAGCAGCACGCTATGCACCTATAGCGGCGTCCAGCCTCAAAAACGCCGGTAAGATGCAGTCGCCTCTATCTCTACGCAGGGTTTGAATTTTACTTGAAAAGTCACAGAACTATCAAATAAATGGCTTGTAAAGTTAACTGGGCAGAAGCCACGGGCAAGTTCGATCAATGACCATAGTTGACCAGAGTTTGACTAACTCTGGTCAACTGCATGCTAGTCGATGATGGTTGGACTAGTCTAGTCAACTATATGCAACCAGCGTATCGAGGTTGGTCGCATTGTTGGTTGCCATAAATCATTTTTACTAGCACAGTGCAGAGAGGCACGGTTACCGGTACAAGACGAATGCTGGAAAAACAGTATGACACTGGTAAATGACCATTTGCACTTTTATTTTTGCTATCTTGCCCTTCCTGCGGCAACCTTTTCTACCCTTCAACCTAACGACCTGACAACGGTTGACCAGATTCGTTTGCACTTCAACGTCATCGCACATGAGCTAGGCACGTCACGAACCAACCACCAGTTAACTAGTGGGCATTGATCTAACTTGGCCCACATTGCAAGATTTTGATTTAAGCACCAACTGCATGTGTGTAGTTGCCAGTCTCTCCTCTTCAATGGCATAGGACGAATTGAAAGTCTGGTATCCGACATAATGAGACGCAGAGAGCATCGCCGATCAATCCCCGACAACATAGAGTGATACGAAAACACCTTTCAGACAAATATTGGTGCAGAGTCGGGAAAGTTGTATCAGATTCAGCTTTGCCGACTGTTTGCGTCGAGTCGCCAGAGTAGGTCTATACCAACACGTCGCTGGCATGACGGGCGTATGACGATGTTTCTCTCGCTTAGTACCACTCATTTTGTCCACTTTTTCCTCATTACTAAAACACATGGAGACGCAGTCGTCAACAAAATAGCTGACTATAACCAAAATACACCAAATTGGAGTAGCAGTTTGGCTTCAAGGAGCGATATTACCACCTAAAACACAATGTGTTTTATTTCAAAATTTTCTGAGTTTCAGACGCCATTTTTTAAAATTTTCTGTTGTGAAATGAGGACACCAAATGTCTCTTCCACGACTGTCTGTGTCTTCATAACTTGCGTGCAGTTGGCGTTCATTACGACCATGGAAACCAGACAGGACGAACAAATAACACCAACACGGGACACGGTCCAGTTGTCGGGTTTAAAATTTGAACCCCGTGATGGGACACCAGGTTGCACTCCACAGCTTTAATGTTGGCTGCTTCCATGTAGGATAAGAGTGTTTTACAGCACTAGCTGTCATGATATTATTTTACCAAAGACATGATGTACATTTAAACTGCTTTTCTTCGGAGAAACCGAAAGCCCAACACAGACAAGCCAGTCTGTAAATGTAATCCTTCTTAAAATGAGCCACAGGTCGCCAAAGCCACTTCTGACCTAGCCATGCCCTATTCATCATCATTCTGTGCAATTTGCTCTCAATCCAAAGGATGTTAAAAAAATCTTGCTTAAAGTAAATCAACAGGAACATTTTTCTACTCTACCATGTTCCGTTTCCTCAGCATGTCAAACTGAGACCTCAGTTTTCTCATTCCAGTGCTTATTGAATTGGCCCCAAGACTCATTTTGTGGGATTCACATTGGGCCCATCTTAGACAGAATAAGCAAACGCTTCGTACTTAACACTGATTTAGATTGCTTCCCAAGCTATCAGATGCCGATGAATAGTTGCAGGGGTGTGTGGCTTACATCTGTATCATGTGAGATGCCCACACACAATGGCGCCCTCGCTGGTGAAAAAGAGAGAAGCGAGGCTGACAAGTGGCTTTTTGTACTTGTATTGTTCATGATCTGTGCCATATATAATACATGTGCTTGGACAGGTGCATACCTTTGCAGTTACATCACCCATCTACCGGCAAGTGTAGTGTGGACATTCCTTTGTTGGAGGGGGGAAGCTTGCGTGGACCTGGCTTAGTCCACACAATCCGAAGTCCAGGGGCTATTATTAGGTCAATACAAGTACAAAAAGCCACTTGTCAGCCTCGCCTCTTTTAATAGGCTCTCATGTCCTCAGAGAGACAGCAAAGTTGGCATGCATACACAGTGCAATGGCCCTGTGGGCCATTGTTTCTACAAACAGACCATCTTCAGGTCTTGAATCTAGAGGTGCAACATGGGGATTTTGTCGGAAACGATCTTAATTTTTGTTGTATCCACGGAATAATCCTCCAAAGGATGGTGCTGTACCGTTTCTAACAACTTTGTGCTTTTCAATTTCATTATAAAAACAAAATTGCCAAGGCATTCCTCCAGGGATGAGGGTTAACTCGCCCTCTTGGATCTACGACCAGCCTTCTCTGTTTCACCAGCAGATCTATCACCCTGAGCCGTTATCGGCGGCCGAAAGGCTTAAAACTAGAGTCAGTATTTCTCTGCTTCAAGATTATGGATGTTTGGCATTGCCCTGTATTGCGCACTGCCACCAAATCTTGCCGCCAAGTGAATTTTTACTTAATAACTAGAAAGGCTTACGACCTGTTGTTTTTGTTTAATTGTAGTTGTGTATGAAATACATGTGGTAGGGTTGCGTGTTGTATTTTGTGCACTTTATAATGCTGTATTCCATGAAGTGCCCAAAGAACTTAAGTGCTCTCTCAACATTTATCTTTTTTTACTGTTTCTTTAGTTTTTCTTTCTGGATTTGACTTCTAGTAATTACTTTCTGGGTATGACCTGAGAGAGATATGTGCTTAAGAATTCAAGCGCTTTTGTATACAATGAAAGAGGTGATTGGTCGAGTTGTGATATTTATGCAGATTTGTGTTGGGTGATGTAAAAGGGGAGGGGCTTTGAGACGGATGAGGTGAGGGGAAAGGTTTGCGTCATCCGGTGTGTTTGATTTCTTCCCTGTGCTTACTCGATTTACTTGACTCACGCTCAATGTGGTGTGAGTAACTGATCTGCTGAGCTGATTGCTCAGGGAAGTGGATTCCATAATCACTGCCATGGTGGTTTCCAGTTGTTTAACCCCAACACTTCCCAGTCCTCCAACAGGTGAAGGATTGAGGAGGGTTAGGGTTAATGATAGTTGTTTGCAGTGCCTGCTGCTACATGTGATTCGAACCAGCCAGTCGACACCGGCAAGCTCGGTGGTCGAATGGTTATTGACATTTGCACTAGTAGGCAGGAGGTCATGGGTTCGAGTCCCACCCGAGTACGCTTGTAATTTATTTTAAGAAGCCCTTAGGGGCGTACACTGAGTATACAGTGTTAAAAACACGTTGGGGCAGGGCAAACAAATCCAAAATTAATTTACATCTCCCCGGCGCAAACCCATCTTTGAAATGGCAGTTTTTTCTGGGTGAATGTTGCAATGGAAAGTTGGCACTGTTTATAAACAGTTTTGAGATATAGTTAGATGTAGTGATGAATTGACTCAAATTAGGTCCTGCAGAAGAACAGCCAGAAATGTGCACTTGTATATCTCGTACTTTCAACAGCTGAGAGTAAGGCCGTGTCCGAATCACTTGGCTACGGCCGGAAAGTGCACGCAACTCCATGAGAACTGGCAGCGGCCACTACCACAGACTCGTGTAATGTCAAGCCGCGGCCTAGACAATCACATCCTCTTGACATAGCTACCACATGACTACCACACATTGCACATGCCGTCAGAGTCTTTTGACAATGCAATGGGTAAAGCGTGAGGGAAGTAAATCATACCCACTGATGTATCAATATTAAGCCCCGACTTGTCAGGCGCAGGAAGTGGATATTGGTTTTGTTTCTGAACTGTGCAAAAAAAAATGGAATTGGTGCGAAGGACTGAGCGATTGCATTAATATTTAAAGTATCTGCGTAATTTGTGAGAAAGATGAATAAGTCTACTTCATGACGGTCTCAGTACTTGCCTAAGTATAAAATACACCTGATTTTAACATTTGTGACTTGAAACGACATTCTTGTTTTCGTTTTGGTTTTAAACAGTACCAACTTGTGCAAGTTGTAAGTAGACTCATTGTTTCAATTTGTCATATTGAATTTCAGACGTTTATTTGTATGCAAAATACAAATACTGTACTGTAACCTTTGTGCTGCTAAATCAACGATTCATCAATAAATTGAAAGGATATGACAGTTAGTGTGGTAGTTAATAATTTAAAAAAGGCTAAAAACTTAGTGAATGTGTTAAAACTTTGTCCTCCACCCAGAATTATGTTCAATAGAAAATACAAAATGTACATACACACTCCACGTACCTATTCTATGAGGGACAACAAGTGTGTTGAAACACCGTTGTCATGGAGACCAAAAATCTCATGGGGACAAAGTTTTGTCCACACATTTTGTCCACCAAACCTGGTCTTGACTTTTCAAGTACCAATATGACATGACCAAAAGAGAGCTCTCCCTCCCCTCCAGAAAAGAATTCCCTGCCTCCCAAAAGTTCCTCCCGTTTGACCCGTCACCCATCAGTGTATCTCTTATTCCCTTGGCTGTTAAAGCATCTATTCCCAAGGCTTAAATGAAACAGCTATCTAAGGCAACTATTGAGGCGATGGTATCGACGGATTGGCTTGACTGTTCGGGTCTGACGCAGCGAGGTTTGGCGTGGTGTGGTCTAGCTGATGATCCGCAGGAACAGTTGTAGGCTGTTGGAAGAAATGATACCTGAGAAACTGACAAAAATATAATGTGACATACTACCACAAAATGTGCTGAAGGTCTAACCTTTTCTGCAACAAGATCTGAGAAATTGTAATTTTGGATTTAAGTCAACAATCAGTCAGTTTATAACAGAATGGAGGTTACTTAAAAATGTTTGACAGAGCAAAGACAACCGAAGTAGGAATTTACAAAGAGAGGTTCATTTCAAACAATAAACGCGAATACCCCTTTAAAATTGGGCTTATGTCACACTGCAAGCAATAATGACAGTATACATACGACTTGGCATATTCTTGAACGTCAGGTCACGAGTCAGGAAATGACACGATTTGCCTTTGTCTCTCAATTTCCTGTCAAGTCCATGAATCAGCCACACGTGTTGTACCCGATAAATCGTCTTAGTCATGCCTGAAGCAATGCCAAGGTGGCATTACCCAACCCTGCCATTCCTGACCAGTGGGAACAAACATCCGTGCACTGTGTCTACTAAAAACCTAAGCGTAGAGCCAAACCTCACATTGAAAATATGCCAGTCACGCAAATGGAAAAACCATCCTTGTCCAAACATGTCAACAACCATGACTTTAAACTCTTACGCAAACTTCCCCATCAACAGGGAAACAAAACATGAATACCAAAACCAGATGTGCACAAACCTTTCTGTACATGTCTGCATGACGTCCACACATTTCTCACATCATGAGCTACAGATTCTCCATCCACTGAGGTGTTATACTGCCCTCTACATGTTCTTCCAAACCATTCCAGAAAACAGGTACATGCAATTTACATGAATGTGCGGAACTGTATCGAACATCCAGAGTGTCTGACATTCTGTTTGCATAACAGAATATCTCTGTATTAAGTCAAGGTATGAGTCATCTCATACCAAACTCTGGGTACCTTGTCAGAAAAGAATACCCAGGCTTCCAAAGGTACGGTACCAGCAAAACGAACCAACCATTATAACCCTAACCCCCTAGGCTCCTGCACTAGAAAGCATACTGAACCTCACAAAATCCAACAGGTACATGTACTTGTCCATGTACTTGTATATGCAGGTCACTGTACCAAACCTGATAAACTCCAGAATAAGGCCGTTGGAGTTTGATACGGTATGGATGGGTCTCTGCAGTATTTGATGACTTGCACTGAACAGTGCAAAACCTGACAAAATCAAGCATAGTCCAACAATTGGTACAGTAAGCCAGATGCTGCACAGAGTGAACCCTGTGTGTCCCAACTCACACAGAATCCCACACCATCTCCCTGGGCTCTTCATCCCAAGTCTCACAAAATTCAACAACACGATCATCAGGTACAGTACCAAATTTGCCAAAACCCTCACAAAACCTGCTGTTGGAGTATGGCGCATGGCAGGTATGGGGTAGTTGGGGTTAATGAGGAGGTGTCACAAAGCAATGAAACATCCACACTTTCAGGAATAACACAAACTGTCTGAAGATATGCAGCTGAAACTGTTTTCCTGAATCTAGTTTGTCAAGGTACTTTTAGGAATTTTTGTTTTATTGTAAAGATAAAAAATTGACTGGAGCGGGATTTGAACCTGCGACCTCTGGACCACTCTACCAGTGCTCTACCATCTAAGCTATCCAGCCCTACATTGGTGGCTCTTCCCATTTGTCAATGTCTCTGTTCAGGGGGTGCTAGCCAGAAGCCATTGAACCTGAAACACCATGTAGCCAGAGATCACACCCCAATAACACGATACAACCTGGAATGTGGTAAACAGGATTCACTCGAAGAGGATACGGCTTTTTGAACATATATTATGAAACTATAGTCATTTTTTTTGTTGCCATGTTATTTTAGGAATCTCTGTTTCCTGTCAAATCTGAGGCTGGTCACGATTTAGGCCTGAAGGGTGTAGGATGGAGGGACCTGGAGATGTAATGAGGCCATACGGAAAAAATATGCCAGTCTGTCAGTATTTTTGGAGATAAATCAACACGTTAAATTTTTTTTTTTGAGGCTAGCCCTAACTCACCTGCGATGGTGTGTGAGTAGAAAATTTATATCTACAACAGATGGCTGATATGAGGACTTCCAGGAAGGAATGAAGAATACCTGGAGATTGAGGAGAAATGTAAAATTGAAATAAAGTTTTCACCCACATTTTTCACCCTCACAACTCATTTCTACAGAGTGAATTACATGTACATGTAAATATGTGCAATGTATGTTGCATGCATTCAAGGTCCAATGGTAATCCAGCCCACTGTATGTGACCCTTAACCCTTGACCTTACACGACCACTTACCTGACGTCGCAAAGATTCCTCCTACGATGCCGCACAGCCTGATGAGAAACTGTGAATACGGCTCGTGCGTTTCCGTCACGCTGATCTCTAGTGATGACAGGTCATACTTGAAGAAAATACCTGAGACGCCATGGCTACCCTCATTGTGGTTTATCGTTCTTTCCTACATAAAAGAAGTCAGAATTGTGCAATAAAGTCAGTTCTGAATAAGTGTCAAGATTTGGTGAAGTAATAGGGATAATAACAAGTTTTTATTATAGTGCTTTTTACTACATGTGTGATTACAGCACTTTTTATTATTATTACCCCTGCTCACTGGGCTTATGAAACATTCCAAATACCTTCTCAGCTCCTCGCGGAGTATACATCTCGATACAGCCATTTTGGTGCTGCTAAATCAATCACAGTAACTATCTCTGCCCTCACAGGTAACGTGACTTGCCCAAGGGCACATGCATCATGCCCCCAGGCTGGGTTCGAACCCACAACCTGCAGTTTTACCGGCCGACTAGAAATCTAATGCTCATAACCATGAGGTCAAAGCACACCACCATTTGGCACTTTTCAAATGAGCACAGGCGAGAGATATTCTCAGCTGAATTTGGCCTATGGATAGACAGAGGCTGCACGTGTCTATGCAAACAATGATTAACAGAGACCTGCAAAATCCACTTTCCAAGCAGTCACAAAGAGAATGCCCTGGCTGAAAGTTGAAAGCTTACAAATCATGCCATATGCTCTACAATCAGTGACATGTTTTGCACAGTTTCTACTATATCTACCATGTCTACATGTGTTTCCATTGTAAATTAAACAGTCTTCTCAGATTTGAAAGCACAGATCCGGTAGCATTGTTTTCTTTTCCTCTTCAATTTTCTATGCAGTTTGTTTTGTTCATTTTTTTCTCTCTGAGGGGAGTGCTTGTCTGCTTGAATTTCTCTTATCTTAGATTTACACAGTAACTGCTGTTTTGGATTCTAAATAGGTTACTTCAATCGTATAGCAGTTCCCGCTTGTTTGCTGTGAATTGCATGCTTTGTGCTTACAGGCACAAATTGCCCAAGCTTAACAATGCAGCAGGAAATTTCACAATAGGAAATACATGTGACTGCAAATCAGCATACAGGTGCAACTATGGTACCAGGCATTCAACAGGTACACCTGTCACCTGGTTAACCCTGAGCAAGGTCATGTACATGCATAAGGCCCTAATAGAACTAACTTGTCTACAGCTGGATGCGAATTAATTGGAAATTTATGGAGATATTGCTTCCACATAAGTTGAGAGATGAGACATAGCAGACAGTGCCGAGCCAAGAAGCCAGAATCGTCAAGGCTCAAACACCTGATCAGTGACAGCCCTTTCCTGCTCTTTCTTTCACTTCTGGTTTCCCTTCATCAAACTTCCATCAAATTGATGGAACACTGCATAACTGTGGGTATTTTTTTTTTTATTTGAAGGGGGAAATCCTGGGAAAACATGCCAAGGTTCCTTGCCAACTACATGTACAAGGCCACACTTGTCACATGTACGTAATCCAATACCCAGTTTTGCTTCCTTCAAAAGTCCCTATGCCAGTGGTCACAAGCTTTCCTTATATTCAGACATTAGGGCTGAGTCTGATCAGATAATTGGCTATTCAAGTATTTGACCTGAAATTTGTATGAATATTCAAATGCTTGGATGAATAGCAAATGTTTGGTATGGCAAGCCTCTCAAAAAGTAATTTTTAATTGAAGCACCAAAGAACACCTGATTAATGTAAGCATAGTTTGACTCTAACCTGAAAAAGTCGGGATTAAAACCGTTCTTTTTGTCAAAAAACGAGGTAGAGTTCGATTGTACTGCACAGACCTGTAAGGTGTATGAATACTTGAATTGAAACATGTACATGTATCATACCTTTGGCACACGCCTGACCTTTAAGTCATAAAACACTAAACAACGTGCCAGAACACTGCTTATGGTCTCTCCTTGTACCAACACGACCAAGTACATGCTCAAGTCAATGATACGCCCCCCTAAAAAAAAAGAACACGAAGCTGTGCTTCCTCTTTCCCAATCTATTTTGCTGGAGGCACAAGGCCAATTTTAATAGGGAAAACGTAAAAGAAAACAATGTGTCTAGTAGAGTTTCAATGCAGTGCAAAATTAAACATACACGAACATGTGCATGTAACTACAGTGAGGTATTCTTTTGTTCATTTTGTTTGGAAAGAAAAAGCGCCATCCGACCTCTCTTGCTGTTATTTATAATGAGTTTACACTTAGCTGCACACTGAAACATTAACAAGACCCCCTTCAAAAAACAAACACATACACATGTGAAAGCCCTTTTGTCTGATGCTGAGTACATGTAATGGGAAGACCTATTTCTTTTTAAGCCTGAACCCCTCTTAATATGCTTAAGGCCATGTGAAAAAAGACAATCGTTTCACATAGCTGTCCACATCCTGTTTTCAAGCCACATGCATGTCCGGTTTTGTTTAGGGGATTTCCCCTTGAATATCCGTCTGCTGGCAAGCCTTGTACATGTACAGTGTACCTTCATGTACATGTATTAACCCTAACTCATATTAATATTGGAGGATTCAGGACTGTTAGGGTTAATGTAGATCACTCAGAGAACAGTTGAAGAACAAATGAATGAAACCTTAAGGCACCCTTAGTTTAACATACATGCACATGTAACGATACCACCTCAGGATACGCTGGCCAGCTCATATGTGCCCTGGCCTTAAACATGTTAAACAAAAACTACATCCTTGTAAATTTGCACATACATGTACATAGATGTACAGTACATCTACGTACATCTACATGTACATTCTGATCTGAGAATTCCATACGGGTAATTCCAGAAATTTGGGGTCTATTTTTTATGTCCCTGTCACATTTGACATATATATAATTTTGTAAGCTCAGAACACCTTTTCTAATTTCCAAGAGGGTTGAATGTATGCAAATTACCAGCCAAACAAATAGAAGTAGTTTGAAATTGATTCCGGTGATATTTCCATGTCAAATAACCAAGGTCAGATGAAACCTGGACACAAAAATGTCACACTTTCGCACCCGTAATTTCTTGAATTACCCACACATATGTCCATTACTTCATAAAAAGCTACCATTACTGGCTGCTTTGAAACATAATGTTGTTTATCAATTTGAATGTAAAAACTACCGGTGGCTGATCTTGTAAAAATATAAATGCATAAAATTGCACCGGCCCAAATCCACATGATGTGAACCTCTCAACATTCTGTTTTTCAAGCTTGTCCCTTCTTGGCCAGACTCCAGAATTCTGTTTCACACATAATGCAATCTGCCTTTCCACTCAGGGTGCAGCTTTTTGTTGCACAGAGGTCAGAGGTCACCGAGGACAATACACCATGCCCTTTTGCACCAGTAACTTTAGATTTGGTTTCCTTCTGGGAAAACTGTCCGAGTTGCACGGCATACATGCAGACATTTTAAAAAAAGCCCGGTGCAAAGAGCAGACACCCACACACACACTCAAAAAACCTTCCACAATAGCAAAAAAAGCTGCTCATACAAAAAACGCACTACTCGACCTCGACCTGTGATCCTAAATCTCTGTTTACAATCTAGATACAACAAATCACACTACAAGGGAGCCCAAACTTCAGTCTGGAAATGCTTATGGGGGAGGGAAACCCAAGTGATATTTATGACTTTCCAAGAAAGTGTCTAGCCTTCAAATAGGTTTAATGAGGGTTCAGATCACACAGTCATCACAAAATTTCCACTTTTCTGGACTACTGCATGTACAATGTAGATATGGAAAAAAATAATTTTAGCCTTTGGGTAATTCCAGAAATTTGGGGTCCAAAAGTGTAGCATTTTGGTGTCCCTAAATGTATTACACCGTACATCTGACCTTTGTTATTTGACATGGAAATATCACCAGAATTGATTTCAAACTATTACAATTTGTTTGGCAGGTAATTTGCATTAATTCATCACTCTTGGAAATTATAGAACATGTTCTGAACTTACAAACTCACGTGTCAGATGTTCAGGGACCCCTAAATTTTGGAATCCCCCTTTGCGAAACTAGATAAAAGGGGCAAAATAGAAGAACACACTTTTCCCATTCCTACATCTGTAGATTTGCTGAAAAATTCTACATCTGTGATGTAATCAAGCAAAATGAGTCGTTTATCAAGGTTTTATTCAAAATATCTCAGAATAAAATGTCCAAAGTTAAACATTTCATGCTTTAACTTCAACTACTGTCCAAAGGTTGTTTCAAGGTTGGTACATGTATTTTAACAGAAATGAAGTTGACATTGTACGAGTATTCCTGTCAAAGGAATAAAATTCCACAAATTGGCCTGGGTCAACAAATGACTCACTTTGAGTGATTGCATTACATTTCACTCTACATGCAGTTGCTTTTTTTTTTGGTGATGCCCAAAAAACAAAGGTCAGAGGTCAGAGAAAAGAACAACATCCAAATCAACACACTGTTACCCTAAAATGAATGTAAATTAAACACTGTGTTGGACAGTGCCCTCAAGAGTCCCACAAAGTTCAGTCCAGCCCATTTCTTGACCATTTATATGGATTTAAAAAGGTTATTACTGGTAACATTTGGAGATTTTTCCGTTGAAACATACTTTGCAAACAAAGAGAAAAACTGGAGACATATTTACCCTTTCTGTGACGGCAAACTGGTGAGTGTTCATCCGCGCCTTCCTGGTGTTTACTTTGGTGGGAACTATCTGAAGAAAGTATTGGTAGATTCTTCGGTCTGCAAGGTCAAATAAATTAAAATCAATTCGAAAGTATGTTTAAATTTCACCATATAACCGCAATCCATTTATCCTTCCAAACCAAATTCAAGGATTTTGTGGAAGTGCCAAGCCATTGTTACTTTATAGGGGCTCGATGCCCTTTAAAAATGAAGTACAAAGAATGCGCTAAGGCTGTGTGGAATACCCGAATACCCAAATATTCGATCAATCAACAAATATTCGAAAAGCATTTTCGAATTTGAATGAAAAATTTATGAAAAGGGAGAATTTTCTTTTGTTTTAAATGAGAAAAAATGGACTAGGGAGGTTTGGTCCAAGTAAATTTAAATGAAAAGTGACAAAAACAATTTGAAAAGTACATTACATTATTCATTAAAAAATTCAAAAGGAACAAACATTTTAAACAGGAAAAAGATTAGTGTTCACCGCTTAAATAAACCTTGCTAAATCATGGCTGGAGATACTCGTAGACGTGAAAAGCTAGTATAGTGATTATAATGTACATGTACAATTCTATCCGTTATTGCAATTGATTTTGTATATGGTTTGTTCATCAACAATCTGCCGGTTGGTACAACCGAATATTAGGAAAAGTGAATTATTGGAATTAACTAAGCCCTAGAATGTGCCATTGGTTTCCTGCAGGAAAGTAGCCAAATCCTCTCCAGATTCGATACTCATTATCACTCTTTTACCAAACATTTCACGGGATTCAAAAACAAAAATCAGTCCCCAGATTTTATTGGAGAAGTCCAGGAATTTTTGGTACAGAGGTAATTACCGGTAGCATAATTCTGTTTGGTTTTAAAAATAACTTCTTTGTTTTTTTCACCATACTTGAAGTCACATTAGACAGTGTCACTAATGGAAGTCAGCTCCGAGTAATACACAAGGGTTTCATACAAAGCTAGGAAAGTAGTCAAGTTCTTTATTACAAAAGCCATAGAGTAATAATTTTCAGCTGCACATGGTCAACACATTAATCACATTTTCCTTTGCCCAAAAATATGCGATCCAGGAAATTTATGCTGACTACGTGCTGATCATGCTTTTCCATTTGGATGACCTCCGAAAGAGAAACTGATTTTTTTTTCACACAATCCTGAAGAGTGAAAGTTTCTAACATAATCAAAACCATTCTCTGATATGTTAGTCTACTATAAAAAAAATGGTACTTACTGTCCTTTGTCACTTTCTCTTCGGCGTCAAGTTGATTTATGATGCCAGGGGCAGGTTCCCCAAATGACAAGTGATCGATGCGATGACTAAAATTGTACTCTGCCGGGAAGAAAATACACATTAGTGTAACGAATCTGTGTAAACTCAGAATGGGTTCAGTATGTGAGAAAAACGGAGGGAGAGGGCACAGGGGGCTGAACAGAAATAGAACGTTCCCAGTTTTGTCATAAGAAAACCTGTCTAGTGGGTTTTTTGGATAAGATGGTAGTTGCATTTGGACTATTTTGCCGGTTTTTTGTACCTAGGGAGCTTCCACTCAACGACGGGTTGAAGACTTCTACATCTATTTATGGCTTCATATTTTGTTAATGTAACACATTACAAGTCATTACATGTGAGAAATTTATTGAAAAAGAACACAGAACAAAAAAAAAAATTCAGTCAGGAAAACAGAAGGAAGTTGGAGGCAAGAAACAATGTTTTCTCCCCTTGGCTCAGGGTCACATGTAAATAATACAGACAGCAGATGGTTAAAAATGGTCCAGTACAAAGTGGTGTGCGACACGACACATGCGTGTTATCTCCTCTACCACGCACCCCCAGCCCCCACACACACACAAAGAGACTTGCCCCTACACACAAGAGCCCCGCACTCTGGATAACCTACATTTGTATTTCAGATTCAAACAAAACTGCCAAGATTAAGATACATGTAGGCTGTACATTGCCCATGAATTTACAGGCGTATGAAATTTCATCTCTGAATCGAGCCAGGCACCCGCAAATCGGCCATCTGTTTCCTAGTTTATCAAATTGCATATTTCAGTTTCTGTGGCCAAACACAGAAGCAACTGTGACGGTCGTTTTCATAACACCCATGTGTTTTTTGCATTTCATTTGCCTGGGAGAGTCCATATGTCTGTACTGAAAACATCAGGAAATGAATACGAAATGTCTTTTTCAATTAGCAGAAGTACAGATGTACATGTACAACACAGGAGCCTGTGAGATGTTGATTTCTTTCCAACGGGCTAAATGTGAATTTACAGTTTTATGTGAGCATCTAACAATGCGAAAGAAGCGAAATATGCTTTCAAATTATTCAATTTTTTATGAACCAAATTCATCCATTACAAATCCTTGTAATTACTTTGGGTAATAATGTCATTTATGCATTCACCACTGGGTTAGTCTAGTATGCAAACATATTATTGAGTGGATATAATTAATTCTGCCCCATTTCTGAAAATGCAAATGTTATATTTACATGCATACAAGTGTATTTTTCTTGAAAATGAAAGACTACCACAGCCTTTTGTGTGGTTTGTTCACCCATGTTATTGTACATGTACGTGTATATTAAAGATTCCCTTCTGTTTTGCTTCAAATCGCATTGCCTTCCTTCTTGACTGTGCATATGTGTATATTGGGATAAACACGAATCTTTTCCTTTTTTGCTATGCCAGTATGACTGCAGAGGCATGTATATAGGCTCGGGTATGTAGGTACGTACATAGGCTCAATCAATACTTACGGGAAGGGTCGACCATTAACGCCAGGTGGGCGTGGCCCTTGGGGTGAGGAATGCTTTTACCGACAGTCACGTGAAAATTACCAGCAACCTAATGGGGAGATCATCATGAAAATGACTCATGACTCAGACACGACACTTCACACTGAATATAAACACTGTACTGTTCAGGGTACACACCGCAACAATGATGTACCACGCTGTTCCAATGTACATGGATTATGTTACAGCACTTGGCATACCGCCTAGTCACACTGATGTAATACACAGACAGAAATGCCATACATGTACATGTGCAAAATCTTCATTTAACAAAACACCAAGAAGGCTACAGCCAAAATGGTTTTCAAAAAGTTGAAACTGTCATGAAAGAGCTACACGTGTCTAGCATTTAAGGTTGCACCTCTACCGTAGATATATCCCTTTCAGAGGGGTGTGAGAAGTCAATTTGGAATCCCATCCCAAACCTGCTAAGGCTGGGTCTGGCTCTTTGCCAGCTGCAAACAGAGTTTTGTGGGCAAATATATGCACAAGAAATGTACGTGCACAGTTACTGTCAACTCCTTTTCGGAAAATAAATAGTGAAATGATTAATAATTGATTGAATGTTTACCTGTTCCACACAGCCCCTGAAGGAATATACGCAATGTCTTTTGACACCGGTATTAGCATGAATTAATGCATTACCAAATAGGCCTAAAGGTACTGGAATACCTCAGGCACGCTTTTCTTGGACAAGTGACAAGTGTCACAGGTTGAGTCCATAAGAAGTCCAGTCAGGAGTCTTGTCACAAGACCACTCATACATGTACGTGTAACTGCGTGAACAATGGCAAAAGAACGCTTTGTTCACAGCTCATTTGAACAGCCTGGGACTGGAGTTAATTTAACTCTGCACGTAGCACTGCGGGGGGGGGGGAAGAGGATTTGTTTTGCTGTACCCATTGCCCTTTTCCATTATGAGCCCAGCCTTAACATCAACTCCCTAGGCCTTTTCACTAGGAACCATCCTCAATCCTCCAAAATCCTCTGATTTTTTGACAAGAAAAAATTGCATTCAGGCTCAATCCTTCAAAATCCTCCAAACTGCCCGAAGGATTTGGAGGGATTGAGGAATGGTAGGGTTAAGGAGTTTATTCTGTTACTCGGTGCAGACACTCGGACTCCAATTTCATGAAAACGTGAGACCTCATTCTCACACAGTTCCCTTGCTTTTAAGTCAGGCCAGCCACCAATGTATGCTTTTTCCCACTGCCTTTCTCAATGCACGTAGGCTGGCTGGCTGGCTGGCACGCAGACAGCCTTGAGTGTCAAATGACTGTAACAACAAAACCACATGTCTGATCGAGTTGCAACTTCAACTTTGTACTAATATGAAGTGTTTCTACATTTAGGCATAATTTTTTCAACGATCGGCCATGGGAAAGCCGAGTCCCTATTGGACCGACTGCTGTACATGCATACCACCTCATTTTTGGTGCGTGTACATGTACTGTAAATATGCTTGGAGGTCATAGAAAGGACTCATTTGCATATGTACAACACTGGCCACGGCTTTCTAGGCCCAAATCAGGCATGGCTTGTAGGCCCAATTCGGGCACAACTTCAGATTGACCGCCACTGACCTTGTTGACCACTAGACTGCCGTGCAGCCGGCAGGCATCCGGCGGGCCTTTGCCCTTCTTGTTGGGAGGGCTTTCGGTGGGCTTGCTGTCAAATCCAGACTGGAACAGGAGGTCTTGTAACGCATGTTCCTCGCTTAGAGCAGCTTTGATCATCTTGAACGTTCTGTTTCGAAGAAAACACAAAGAGACTCGGAGTCTCGTAAGCCGAGGACTATGATCTCTGACTTCCCACTGAGGAAGTGTGGCCTAGTGGATTAGCCAAGCATGAAAGTAAACCAGTTAATAATTTTTCTGTTTTCTTCTCTCGAAAAGCCTTGTTCTTTTCCTTTTAATCTTTTTTTAATTTTCCTTTTAATCTTTTTTTAATTGTGAAAAGGTACCTGGAAAATGTCTACATAGTGATGGATTTTGAAGATTTGAGGTGGTTTTGAGAGATGTGTCCAGACAACTATCAAGGGTATAGCAATAAACCATTTCTTGACACAATTTTGTTCTTCATTTCTTCTTCAATGTATGAAAACTATTAACCATTCATTTTAGGTTCAACGCATTGAAATGTGCACATTCTTTTTACAAATTCAAAGTTGTCCCTGCTCTCTTTGACAACTGGGGGCGCTGTTGCTGTGAGGTCATTCAGGGGAGACACAGTTAATTTGCACATGTTTTTCTGTTCAAATGGTGTGCCCAGAATTTGAATACTCAAAATGCTCAATGAAAACATTTTTGAGGAAGGTAGGCCAACAAAGAAAGAATCTTTAGCCAAGAACAACATAAAAAGATGATAGAAGTTTCTTGTATATTGATACAACATTGACATGTTTTTCCTGGGATGACAAAATTTTGGTTAATGAATATGGAAATCTTCATTAGAATAGCAAAAATGCACTTTAAACTAGTCAAACAGCAAATAAATAAAGGTTAACAGAGACACACAGATGTAATTTGAAGGTTGAAGTTTTCATAAAATGCACTGCAGAGACCCTTTAAGATTTCAAAATGAGGAAGGAACTCACTCTTGTCGGTGGCGTTGTTCGGGAGTCTTCTCAAAGTATACTGCCTCTTCTTTTATGTTCCCTCTGGCTGGGGTGGTGGTCTCACCTGATATGTCCACCACATCCGCTCCAATCCCTGCAAAAAAGCATTTACTATCATCATCTATCCATAGATTTACAAGCAACCAACACTGCACATGTATTTCTACTTATCTACATCTCTACTAATGCCTAAATTGGGTGGCTTCTCCAGACTTAATTTGGAGTTTAACGTTGACTCACATCCACATTTCATGGCCACGGTGATGTCTACGTTGATGGTCAGTTTGCTGTTCAGGTCCGCATCTACCGTGTACTCGTACTTCATGCGTGTGTCTGCGTAGTAACGGATCTCGGAAATGATCAACACGCCAATCAGCAAAAAGGTCAACAGAGCCACTGCAAAGAAAAAAGAGACTAGAAATTAATCAAAGAGAACTGTATATACATGTGTGTTTATCGGTCACTTGGTCAGTTTGAAAAGATTAGGAATGCCAGTTTGTTGGTGGTAAAACACATCTCCTACGATCAAAGTATGCGTATGCGGGCAGTCGCGGAATCTGATCCTGTCTGAGCAAGCTGAAATTTTTCTGCATCTTGCTGACTAAATGTATACCAGTAAGGTAACAGCCTACAAGTATTGTACAATCACGCTGAGCTCTGTTGAAGTTTTTTCAGCTATTGAAATTTTTAACTAGCTGACGCAAAAGATTATTTTTGAGAAGCAGTTACAGAGTTGGCACTCTGGTCACTTTAACAGAAAAGAGCAGGAATATTACCATCCTGAAGGGGGTTGGGGGCATGTGACGATAAAAACTGTCATGAGGTCAGATCGGAGTCAAATATGCATTTGCGAAAAAACTCCCAGAAGCTGTTCACCACTGCAATATTTCACATGTGGGTTATTCCAGACATTAGGGGTCCAAAAGTGTGACATTTTTGAATGACATCAGAATAACATCTGACCTTTGTTATTTGACATTGAAATATAATCAGGTTTGATTTTGAACTATTAATGTTTGTTTGGCAGGTAATTTGCATTAATTTAACACTCCTGTAAATTAGAAAATGTGTTCTGAACTTAAAAAATCACATGTCAGATGTAACAGGGACACGAACAAAAATAGACGGCTAATTTCTGGAATTACCCATGTACAGTCCATGTACCGTTTTGAATAATAATGAGTGTGATTGATTCTGTGAGATACAAGTATTAATGTTTGGGGGGATTTCGTCCCTTTTTCCAACTGGTGTTTGTGTGAAAAAAAAAGGAATGGGAACAAAAATTTACCCAAGTTTCAACCCCACATTCCCCTCTGTCAATGACCCAAGGAAGATCTTTTGCCTGGGTAGGAAAATACTGGTAGGCCTACTTTACACAGTACACTCACACGTTCCACCTGTTGAGCTTGTTTCTTGGTAGCTTTCAGGTACTTTTGGGAAGGCGTCCAGCTCTTTCACGACCTTCAGCGTCTGCTTCCGATTAAGGCGCCTCATTGTGCCCAGGCAAGCGAGAATCTTTCTTGGATGGACGTACGTATGCTCTCATGAATGGATCAACAAACCGCCCTGACAAAGTGCAATTACACACACAGCACAGCATTGATGCAGCCATATGCAATAAGGCAGTTTCCCGTTCCGTCGCCGTGTTGATTTGAGCCTAAGTGAACAAACCTACAGGGGACCAAATTGTCTACAATAAAAACCGCGAGCATCCATTCGCTAAACGTTACTCAGCATTTTGGTCATGAATATGTTCCCCTCTGTTAAATTTCCTGAGCATGTGCACATAAAACGTGGAAAAGGCTAAGTGATATAACGCACATTATGTTCCATCAGTTTGTTCAGCCCAATCATTAACAAGCTTGCTCAGTTCTTTGCTTGTGTCTACAGCATCTCAATCACTGTTAATCTTACTCACTTCTCACAATTTGTTGCTGAGGCCTACACTGTCATAGGGACCTACACTGTCATAGGGGCCTACACTGTCACAGAGG